CACACCTTCCCAATGCTGGAGACATCTGGAGATATCTCCCAAGCATGAACTTCACATAAACCACCTCCTCTTGTCCACATCCCCAGCCAAGTCAATAAAGACACGACTGAAGCCTTCAGTGTGTGTGGGATCCAGTTGAGAAAAACAAACCTCTGGGTCTCACTCTGGTTATGAAAGCAACGATGTCGCCTGGAAAGTATGTACCAGAGAGCAGAGAGAGCTGCTTCTGTCCAGGGGCAAGCAGAGGAGGTGGGCACCAGCTCAAATATGACTCAAAAATCAGGGGAAATTATTTCTGATGAATGTAATTACTTCGGCTCCAGCCCTGATCAATATGAGGAGCTGAAATGCTCATAAACCAGCCGAGAATGCAAACTATGCAGGGTGATTTGTAAAAGGTGCTTGGCTGGACGTGCTCTGGCCTGGCTGTCAGGCTGCCCACGGGGCAGGGTGACCTGCTGCCAGGGGTGGGGAGGGGGTGGGAGAGTGGCCACTTGCTAATTGCAAACTGGTGGCTCCTAAATGAGCATCCCCCAGGCTAATTAAAAGCAATCAGCCTGCTTGGCTGGGCTGCTTCTGTGCTTTGGTCACAAAGCAAGAGGCAGGACTGGCCCTTTAGAGCCTGGCTGGCTTATGCTGGCCCCTGTGGCATGGGGAGGTTTTAGTGGGTTGGCACCCAGCACAGCCCGGGCAGGGGGTCTGCATGGGCACTGTGGGACCACAGGAAGAGCTGGAGGGGTTGGTGTCCTCAGGCCTGGTGCTGGCTGAACCCGAGGTGTGTCAAGTGAGGTGTCAACCTGCACAGGAGAGGTTCTTCCACCTCCAGGGCATGGCTGTGTCCTGGGGAGCTGTGCCCACAACAGCAGATCTGGAGGGGGAGGCACAGCCTGTGAAGCTGGTGCCTGCATCCATCTGGAGATGGCAGGAGTTTCCTCCTGAGAAAGCAAGCAGAGGCTGGTGAGGGTGTCCTGGGGCATGGGGGTCTCCCACGATGTGGTGTTTCCCCTGGTGTGATGAGCAAAGTGAAGGAGAAGGGCTGTGACCTTTTTGTCTCACTGTTTCCCAGGAAGACAAGGAAACTGGAAGGTCTCCCACCAACCGGGCTTCTTCTCAGGAGAGTGTCCCTAGACACCATGATGGCAGAGGGGCAGAAATGGAGAAGAAGAAGAAGAATGGGGGTGCTGAGCTGGCAGCTACCTGTGGCAGGAGATGGAGTGGTGAGTGCTTCACCTTCCTGCTCGAGCTGCTCTGCAGGCCCTGAGCTGCCACTGCACATCAAACAAGGTGATGTCTCCATCTTCTGTGGTGACAGCTCCATCTTCACCTGACTGCAAGTTACAGCCACCACCTGCTGCTGCTGCAGGGCAGCCACCCCACCTCCCTCCCACGAGACGTTTCATTAGTGCAGGAAAACTCCTTGATTCTTATTTCATGGGACTCAGGTGGCTTTCAGCAGTGCAAGCCCTGCCTGCATGGGCTCTCTGCACCTGCAGCCCTCTCAGCCATGGGAAGGGAGACTGTGCTGCAAGTTTTTCCCTTCCTGACTAAAGTTTTTTTGATGATTTTCTTTAAAAAGGAGGGGTAAAAAAAAAGGGTGGAAAAAAAAAAGAAGCCTCTTGTGACTCGTGACTCATGGAATGTGTCAAGTTGTGAATTAGCATCTGCTTACTCTGGGCCAGTCTCCTTCACCACGAGTTGCCTTTTCCACTTGCATAACCAGTCCAGTTCTGCTTCTGGCACAGAGACCAGCACTTCCCTGGCTCCAAGCACACCACTGGGAGCAGCTGCTCCCAGGAGCCTGCTGGTGAGCTTGGACAATCTGGGACGAGAGGAGCCTGCCAAGCAATGCAGAGCATCACAGACCCACTGAGCTGGCCACAGACCTCCAGGACCTTCTGCAGAGACATCTGGGCAAGGCAGGCTGGGCAGTGTTGTGAAAACCACGTGTGTTGTGACAGCAGCCCAGACCCCTGCAGCCCCAGGCAAAAAATAGCAGGAGCTCCTGCCAGGGGTCACCCGAGCAAGGCTCCCACCTGTGGCCATCACCTCCACCCTGGGATAATGCCCAGCAGCTGCTGGTGGAGCTGCAGTGGGACTGCCTCCTGCCCTTGGCTGCCCTGGGAACTGGGATGGGATGGGTTGTGCTGGGAATTGCAGGGCATCCTTCATGTAGTTCTCAAATCAAGAGCCTTTGGGGTTGGGTTTTCCATCTGCTGCAGGGAATTGGGGAAGGAAATACAGAAAGGGGATGTTTGACTGATGGGACACTCTTGCCCAGAGCTGGGGATGGCAGCCTGACTGCAGCTCAGCTTGTCCCAGGAGCTCTCCCAGCCAGGCTTCCCTCTCTGGTTTGGAGCCAGAGGTGCATCTCACGGGGCAGCTCCTCTCGTGGACCAAACTCCAGGATGGGAAATGCAACCCAGAAGCCCTGGCACTGTGGGCCAGGACAGGCATCTGCTCTCCCTGCTGTGGCTGAGCCCAGTGAAGGCACAGGCAGTGCCCAGGGCAGCAGGCAGAGCACAGAGAGCAGAGTGTGTGTGCATGGGGCAGCCAGGCTGCTCTTCAGCCCTCCCTGAGGGCCCAGGCTGGAGGGGATGTTTTGAGGTGCTTTTGGCTGCCCTGTCCGTGCTGCATTTCCAACATTATCTCCATCTCCTTCCTGGTGCAGGGAGCTCTCCAGGCCACATGGAGAAATCCTGGTTTCCCTGTGCTGTGATTCTGCTGGAAACCACACCTAGCCCAGCCTCAGCCCAGCTGAGGTTAGGAGAGCTGTTTCCCCAGGGCTTGGCTGTGCTCTCCTCCACCAGAAGCTGACTGACCTCAGACCCAGGTTTTCTTCTTGTCCCCCCATCCTGCTGAGCTGTGCTCTGCCCCCTGCCCAGCCAAGGCCCTCGGCTGGCCTGACACCCAGAAAACTCACCCTGGGATCGCCTGTATGAGAATGAAACACAAACACTTTGTGAACCACGGGCCTGGAGTGCGAGGCAATGAGCTGGGAGCTGTCAAAGCAAAGGGGAAGATCCTCCCAGATGAGCAGACAAGGCCAAGCCAGCCTGGAACACCAGTGGAAAAGTGACAAGTGCAGAGGCTCTGGCTCCAAGGGACATCAGCCACCCTCTGTGTGCAACCCTGGCTTTGAGATGGGACTTTGCTGCCACTGTTCCCCAGTCCCACGTGTGCTGCTGCACGGAGGTGGTGCTGGGTGTGAGAGGAGACCTCTCTCTGCTGCAGACCAGCCTTCTTCTCCAGCAGCTTGGCCCAGGGATGCTCCGCTCAGCCCAGGGTCTCCACAGCCTCCACCCTCAGCTGCCACAGCCTCTCTCCCTAAACCTGTGCCGTGATGCTGCTGCTGTGCCTTCCCCTGCCTTGCACTCAGCCTTGTGCCACCTCTGATGGCACCAAAACTCCTACATGGAGAGGCAGCTTGAAGGCTCTGCCATGACATGCAGCTTCTCCTTGGACCTGGCCATGTCTTCCTTGTCCCCACACAGGGTCACAGACACCTGCTTCAAACTAGCTTTCCTTTTCCAGGACCTTCCCCTCCCCGGGCTGGTGTGCAGGGTGAGAGCCCAGCTTCTCTCCTCCTGCCTCCGAGGCCTGGCTCCTGGAAACATCTGCAAGGAAATAGCTGAAGGTATTGAGCAGGGAGCCAGGAAATGCTCCAAATTTCTTTCTTTCTTTCATTTTATTTTTTTTTCCCTGCTAAATATAATGACATTAATGCTATTTGCAGTGTTAAAAATAGAAGTGGACAGAACCTGCCTTTTTCCTGTTTGCTTTCAGATCTCGCCTTCCCGCCTGTCTCTGCTTTCTGGGGATCTGCGAGAAAATAAACCCAACAGAAAGGCTCTCAGCAGTGTGCAAAGCAAATCCAGATGGGCTTGGCCTCAGCTTCAGCTTCTCCAAGTGGGGCTGTGCCCCCCCCTGCAGCACCAGGAGCTGTGGTTGTGAGCTCCCACCTCGGGCAGCTGTGGGACCAGGCTGCGCTGGGACCGTGTGCTGGGCCAGCTGCTGGGGACCTGGCCACCCTCACTGGGTGGCTCTGGGAGTGTGGCTGCCTTCTTGCACCCCACATCCTGGCTCTGGTCACTCTCCTGTTTTTCCCAAGTGTCTCAGTGCAGTGGGTCAGCTCCAAGCACTGCTGCAGCTCTTCCTCCTGTGGCTGGCAGAGCTGTGCTTGTGCCTGGGGCTGGATCTGCCGCTGCAGGAGCCCTGGGCAGAACACCCTTCAGCCCACTGCTCCCACTGGAAGCATTTCTCCAGACACCTGTGGCTGGGCAGGAGCACATCCCTGCTGCATGTGCCTGTTCCCAGATCTCCTTCCCAGCCTGTCAGTGCATCAGGAGAACTTTGCTGCAGGTCTCTGAGCAGGCTGTGAGAGCCACGGCCACTCTCAGCACCCGCTCCACTGAACTCAGAGGCTGATGGACTCAAACTCCCGTTGGCTGCTCTGAGCCAGACCGAGGCACTCAAAGAGATCAGGATGTGGGAGGCAGCTCCCTGCCCTGTCTGAGGAAAAGCAAAACTCTGGAGCTCAGCAAACCAGCCAAGGAGACAGTGTCTGAACGTGCCCTTCACCAGCAGGCGCTGCCGCCCCCGGCCCGGGGCTGCAGGCGCTGGGCGCTGCTTTTCCATGGGTGTCCGTGGCTTGGATGGAGGCTGCTGCCTGATTTAGTACAGACTCAGCCCTAGGTGCCTCGAGAGAGCAAGTCCTGGCACAGCATGAGCGGCGAGGGGTGGATCGCAGCGCACACAGCGCTGCGTTGTGGTGAGGCTGCCCGGAACGCCCCGAAGCCGGGAGCAGGGAGGATGAACAAGCCTGCTTTGCTTTCCTCTGTCCTCCCCGTGCCTTTCTCGAGGTGGTGAGGTTGGGCAGCCCTGAGCTCTCCCTCTGCCTGGGAGGCAGCCAAGGCTGGCAGAGCATGCACAGCGGGCTGGTCGTGCCCGGGGACCCGCCCGGCTTTGCCACACGTGTCCCCCTGGGCGGCATCTCCTCGAAAGGCTGGGGTTTGCCAAGAGTTGGTTTCCATACTGGGGCAACTTGCCAGGTTGTTCTTCCAAAAGTCCTCAAGTTAGCTGGAAATTAGATGGTTAAACTGCCACAGGGCAACCATGAGCCTGGGCTGCTTCTGGATCACAGAGCCAGTTCCCCCGTGTGCCACTGGGAAGTCCACACCCGACCCTGGCATGATGTGGTTTTAAAAGCACCTCCACAGGAAGCATTCCTGAATTTTAGTCCCGGCAACCTCTCATGGTGTTGTTGACTGGGAGCAAACCAGAACCAGTGACAGAGGATGGACACACAGACGTGGGCACTGACAGCCCAGCCCTGCTTAATGCATCCTGTCTGCACAGACCCTCTGAGAGGCACAGGGGGGTGACTGCCCAGATTTGCAGATGAACCACAAGGACTTCCCAGGCTTTCCCCTCTACCCATGCCTGCTGCTGACCTTCAAGATATCCCACCCACAACCGATGTCTTGGGTGTGAACAGGGAATGGGGCAAAGCCTTGGCGTCCAGGCTGACACGGGGCGGGGGGGGGAGGGAAATAGCCCTTTGAAAGGACTTTAGACATAACTTGTGTATTCAAATATTCATCCTCCTTTCCCCAGCCAGGTGCCCGAAGGTCCCCGGGGTGCCCCCTTGTTATGGGGGCACTGCCGGTGGCCGGTCTTCCCACGGTGTGTGCGCTTCCCGGCTGAACGGAGCCCACCGTCCCGCATGGCCCGGGTCCGGGGGGGGTGAAGACGCGGTCTTTGGGGAAGGCGGAGAGGTGGCAGCGC